GTTATTATTATTGGGAATCTCATGAAGAGAAAAGGAGTTTTCCGATCGAAAAATATGGATTTTCAAGAATTATATACCATTTCTACAAAAAGTGGTTTTTTGTTCATATAAAATACATGGAAAACTTTAAGCGCTTTGAGCAACTTACAAATATTTTTTGATTTCAATATAAAAAATAGGGGTATATATTTTTCGGTATAGAACAATCCTAGGGGTTGAGACTTTACTTTTTCACAGGCATTTTTGGACCACCCTAATGTACATATGTACATATGTAAGAATTTGCGAACAGAAATATTTTATCTCCTTTGTTTGAGATATACATAAGTGCATATGTATGTATGCGCGTAAATATGTATGCTTTTTAGGGACACCTGTTACATCAACGAGCCCTCGGAATATACAACCATTTTAGGTCAGCCGGGCGCACACTAAATTACAAGGAGTAGCTGTACATACCCGTATGTAGAATGCACATTGTAAATACATATCGGTATGTACTAGAGTTGGCTTGTTTAGTTCACTTTAGGGATTAGTTCACTTCTAGTTCTTTCTGCTCAATGAACTAGCTCTTCTGAGTCTTAGTTCGTTCACCTTATTAAACTATGGTTCACCTTATTGAAATAGCTCGGTAGTAGGAGCTGAGTTATAAAACAACAAAAATGTATGTTTTATAACACATATATACATACATACATATAATAGATTGCAATAACGACACAATCCAGTCGTCTTCATTCATTCGTCCTTCTCCAAAATTGTGAAAGGAGTTTTATGGAAATGCGGCAGTGTCTGCATTTAATATTATTTTCTTGAATTTTGCCTTCGAAATGCGAGAAAATTGCCTTCGCTTTTGCATCTGAAAAAGAAAGTCTGTTGTTAAACAACAAATCCTAAAAACTCAATTGAAATACATAGTTTTTAACACTAATCGCACTAACGATGTAGAACATTGAAAATTAAATGAAATAAAATGTGCGCGAAAAAAAGCGCGAATTCCGATCAGCTGTTTCTTTATGCCCTTACAACGAAAAAGGAGTACCCATATGTGTTGTAAAATTGCATTTCCATTTTTATCGGAGTGTTGCCACAGAAAGCTTTAGCTCACTTTAATGAACGAAAAAAATTTACTAGTTCAATTATAAAAGCTAGCTCTTTCGCTTTTTAGTTCAAAAGCTCCCCAAGTCTAGTATGTACATATGTATGTTCATACAACTTAACTCTTCTCCTTATTTGGAACTCCATATGTATGTATGTACAACCACTGGATGCTAGGGCTGAGACCACCTTCTTTTGCGAAGCTCCGACAGTTGATTACACCGGAAACACTTAAGTCCTTTTGCATTTGGCTCTCCCATTAGTTTTGAGGCGCCCCTGCTTGCTTTGTCAAACCTTGGATGCCGAGTCGGAGAACATTTGGTCGGAGCACCATTATGTATGTATGTATACATACGTCATCGTTCGGCTACGATGGTTTCTGTGATAGTCCCGACTTATAGCCTATTTCCACCAAAAGCTTCAGAGGTCAGGTAGGTTGTAAGAATTTTCACATGGGGTGATCGGCAGGGTTTATTTCTTACGTTTTGTCTTTTTACTTTGGTTTTCTTATACTTTTCATAAGCAGTTACCCTCTTCAATAGGCATAAACTGCAGTTAAAGCTTGGTGAAAATAAATTATTAGTTTGAAAATAAATAAAAATATGTATTTTATTCGCTTTTAAGTCCGCTCAATATAATATGTTTAAATAAAATAGTATTTTTGTAACCCTTTTCTATTTCACGGGCCACCCTAATAAACCATCGATATTGTCGATCGTTATCTATAAAACTATCGAAAACCATCGATGGTGCCACTATCGATTGTTTTGCAGCACTAGCGCTTACACACTCTGAGGGAAAAATGTCCGCCTAAAAATAAGAACAAACTAACTCGATTTTGAGTATATGGAATCTAAATATTTCATTCCTGAAATAAGAATTTCGTACTCAAATCAAATATGATGCTTCTCTATTATACGTACGAGTATTTTATTTTAAGAAACATTATAAATGAGTTGGGTTAGTTATCACAACCTTTCATACTTCGACTTAGTATGTTAGATGTAGGGATGTGCCGGGTGTCCGGTAGATATCCGGAATCCGGCTTATCCGACCGTTTCTCTGTTATCCGACTATCCGGCCGGATACTGGCTAAAATCCGGCCAGATTTCCGGATTTCTATTATAGAAGATTCAATTAAAAGCCAGTTAACTTTTTTTTGTATTCTTGTAATCAAATTTTATAGTATCTAATTAGTAATTAGAGTTAAAGATTTATATATTTTTCGTTATGAAAATAAGTATTTCGGCATTTCCGGCCAACTACCTATTTCTGTTTTAAACATAAATGCTATCTGAGCCACTGGGAAGGTGGCTCGCAGAGATACCTCATTGCCGGTGTAAACAAATTTGAAAAATCTTTGCGTCTATGCCTCCACCAAAGGGGTGGCTGTAAATATATATCCATTTCTCCATCGTTTGGCTATCCACATCTCTACAAAAACTGGAATTAGCAACAGAGAAAAAAATGAACCAAAAATTGGACAATATTACCAAATTCAAACTTGAAAAGGAATCAATGTGATTTTTGGTTATTATTAAGAATGCCTTGGTTGATATTTTCAACAATGATTTGGTAATATTAATCACACTTTTGTTTACGTTAATCAAAGTTTTGGTTGTCAGTTTTTCGTTTGAATACGCTTATGTTCTCCTCTTCACAGATTCTTTTTCATGATTCGGAGATATAAAAAAAAATGTTTTGCCGCTTTAAAAATGTGTATGCAAATGTTCAACTTGAATCAATTTTCTTTGTCGTTTGATTTGGTTCTGCACTTCACAGATGCTTTTTCGTAATTAAGAAAAACCAAAAGCAGAAAAAATATAAAAATGATTTGTTGTCGCTGATGGCATTCGCACTTGAACCCGCTGGAAGCCAAAAAATAACACCAAGCACCTCTGCACGTTCAGCTACAGCCAGACATACGAATTTGTTTTCAAATGTTCAACTTGAATCACATTTCTTACAATCGGTGTATTAACCATGAAAAAAACAAGCAATAACTTGGTTGAAAAACCCATTGTACTTTTGGCTCAGTGTGGCGATTTCCTCAAAGCATTGGCGAGTATCCTAATGAGCTTGATCTTCAATAGAAGCTTTCGGCCTTTTTCTTAGGATTCTATGCTAACAAGTTTTGAAATGTGGGTTACAAAATATTACAACAATGAAGCATTACAGGACGATACGGGAAGCGGGACGATATGTAAGCATGTATAATAGTCAGGGTTGGGCACGCTGCACTAAATTTTTAATGCACTGAGCATTTCGTTACCACTATTCGTGTAGTGGTAGTGAAATTTGAAATGCATTAGCACTAAGTGCATAGTTGACAAATTGTTTTCACTACCACTATGCACTTAGTGGAAATGCATTTCACTGCCACTATATAGTTAGTGGCTATAAATTTTTCAACAATTCTGGAAAGTGGGTATTAAAATCATAGATCGCCAAATTTTCGTAAATTTGTAAACTAGTGATAGTCTAACCAGATAGTGATACTGAAAATTCTATTTCACTATAACTATGTAGTGGTATTGAAATTTGAAATGCACTATCGCTAACCATATAGTGACTAAAGCCCTAGTGCTAGTGAAAATTTCGATGTAGTGCAATATACTCAACCTTGATAATAGTTAGATTTTCATCACATTTTAAAATAAAAATACATTGTCGTTTATCTTTTTTCTTTGACGTTTCTCCTCTCTTTGCCAAAAATAATCGATAAATCCGGGTTGTATCTTTTAAATACAGGATTATTTTATAACTTAGTTTTCAGATGAGAAGTTTTATATTCTTAATTACGCATTGGGTAGTTCAGCTCGAAAAAGCAGATAATCTGGCAATAAGTATGTATGTCGCTAAACAAAAAAATCGAATACAACAGTTTTGTGAAATTTATTAAGGTCAGAAATCTACCGGATATCCGAACGGATATCCGAATCCGGCTCATATTTTTTACATGGTATCCGGAATCCAGTTATCCGGCAAAATCTCTATCCGGCACATCCCTAGTTAGTTGTATGTATATGAACAATATTTTCACAAAAAGACGCGTGAAAAAAGGAATGATATATAGGCTGACTTCTAAACCGTCAATTGCTTTGCAAACGCACAAAGCATAATGTTCCATAACGCCGAACCACAAAATATTGGCAATTATACTTTTCCAAAACGCAACCAAGAAGTTATCGAAACGCATCGCTAGAGCAATCAGCGCATCAGAAACACAATGTTCATGCTTCGTTTGTTATTGGTTACAATTGGTGTTAAAAAGGAAAAAATTCAGAAAAATTGCTCATTGCTGTATTGAATATTTAAAGGTATTTTTAATAAAATATTAAGTTAAAATATTTTTAAATTGCTTAATATAGCAGAAAAAAGTGATCACGGCACAGAGAAGAAACTTAACTTTTCCTTGAGTTGTGAGAATAGCAAGCACAACAAATTTGACGACTAGTAATCTGAGATTTGCCTGCGTGAACGGGGTGATTAACAAACTGGCTTTGTAAACATACTTTAACTCGAAATTCAGATCGGCAAACACAACTGCTTATGGATCGTCAGATTCAACCCAATTAATACAAAAACAGGTATAGCAAGTTGTTTAGTTAGTGTATATATGTAATCATGAAGAAACAAATATTTGCATTCATTGATGGTAAGTCCTATGCATTGATTTGTGCAATAAAATTACCCAATTTTTCTTTTTTAGTCGATCGCAGTTTAGACCTACATAGGTGTGCGATATGTAAATAAGTGGCAAAAACTTTCCGGGATGTTCTACAGATGCCAATAAAGATATACATACATACATAGGTTTGAATAAAAAAAAAAAATAAAAATTCAAACAAATTCTACACATACTTACACACTTTTCCGCTGAAGATAACGACATGTGCAAATGTGTATGTATATATTCGTTCTGTTTATTTAATTTTTATTTCTGTATGTAGTATTTACATATGTACACTTCATACATCATAAATACATATCACTTCATATTTTTAGTAATGTAATGTACAGTGTACTCCCTTCTACCTTCACCAAAATCATATACATATACATATGTATGTATGTTTTTTTTTATTATATTTTTATCAGTCCAAAGTAGCTGCGGTTATTGACATCTTTTAAAATAACATTTCGATCACTATGGAAATCGCGCAAATGAATTGTTTCATTCTCTTTGAGATATATGAGGCCGCTGGTGTGGCAGGTATGTATTTTGTGTGGCATATTTGTTGGTACTGTATTCAAGCATTGAAGAAAAGGCTTATGCCCATGGAATATCACGAAACCGTTCTGGTCGTGTGTATTGTTGTAGCACACCTGGGCGTATACGTAATAAAGGCCCGGTTCGCGTATGGTTAATACACCATTCTCCACTCTGAAGTAGTTATCAACGTCAATTTCATTCGACCAACTGGGATGACCGATATACATATCACCAGAGTATGCTATTTAATATAGAGAGGAAATCAATCAAAATAAAACGATTTCAACGATTACTGAAATTGCTGAATTTTAGAGAAGCAATAATTTTTTAAATCAATTTTAGAGAATTTTTTTTTGTAAAATCATTAAATATCTTTGAATATTAAAAGTGATAAATCGATCAAGAAGATGGCTATACAATACTTACAATCGACCCTTATACTGGCGTAACGGTCTGGAATTTTACGATTTAAATGAAAATGTGCTGCTGGAGTATTGGTTGCAGGGGGTGTTTGACGCGACGATTTGGCTGAAAAGAAGTAAATCACCAGGAAATTTTAGAGCGGATTATACATGTATGTACATAAGCACAAATTAGTGCTAGCGCAAAGCCTAAGGACTTTGAGTTTTTGGCGAGAATTTGAAGATAAACCAATAGGAACCAAACAAAATACTAAATTATAGTTTGACAATAACCTACCACTTTTTACTATAGCATTTTTATATCGCCGGTTACCCACGTGATGCCTGTGGGAATGCTTTTTCACCACTTCCCGGTTTGCACTACTTTTTTGATCAATATTAACCTCAGATACTTTGCTACGATGAGATGGTAATCTGCAAATATATATATATATATATAATTTAGTTTCCTTACTAAATAATTTTAACATTAAAAAATTTATCAAGCCTCAATGGCTTTTTTTCTATTAGTAAAGTCAAATTACAATGCGAATTCATATAAGTCAGGGAGCCAAAATAACTGTTATCTCGAATTTAAAAATTGAAAACGTTGCCCGAATTCTGAAATTTAACGAAAACGTTGTTTCATAGCAGTTATTAGATGAAAAATATTTTTTATTTCGCCGTGAAGAGTTATAACCGAATGTTTATTTTTTACGTTGTCTAAATACGTAATATGATGAAACTTAAAGAGGAGTGAAATAACTGTTAGCAGACAATATAAAAATAAATGTTGGGTAATAACTGTTATCAAGCAATGTAAAAAATAAACGTAGGTAAATAACTCTTATTTGCGACGGAAAACATATTTATCCTACATAACAGTAATCAGGCAACGTAAAAAGCAAACGTTGGGTTATAACTATTATGGAACAACGCATTTCCAAGTGCAAAAATTTAGTATTTCGGTGGTGAGTGAGTGAAACGTGACTAGATCTATATTTTCTTTCCCTCTTCCTTCTTAACTACAACTAAAATTTGACAACGGATTTGTAGAATCGATGCGACCTAATATGAATTCGCCTTGGTCAAATTATGAAAATTAAGAATTTTCGACTCTCATTTGACTGCACTAATCGCAGTTCGCACTTTTTCCGGATGCAGACATTATTTCAATAGTGTTAGAATTGAAAGAAGCTAGAAAACAAATCCAAAATCGCCTTTTTGAGTTATCCTCAAGGGGCATATTCTGGTCGCACTGGTTCTTTCTTACCTGAGCATCAAAATTTCTCTTTGCTGATAATTAGATTCCTTTTCATTTTCGCTTGTCCCGCTTTTGATTTTAAATTTCGTATTTCTTTTATGATCTTCGCTCGATTGATCTGGTTTGATGGAACGAGGTTTACGCGCGCTACAAAATATATATATATATATACATACAGAATATATGTACATACATAAACAAAAAGTTAGTTCTAGAAAGTTCTGTAAGAGTAGAGAAAAGGAAATAATGTACCCTATCTTCTTCCGTCGTGTGGAATTAAATTTAGAGAAGTCACTATAAAAATCCCCTTCATCCGACATGTCCATTTCATCTTCGCTCGCATCATCTTTGTCATCTCCATCTGGAATGCCATCAACAGAGTCCCCTTCTTCATCATTTTCATCTTTATTATCCAAATCATCATCATAGTTCATAGCAGCCAATTTTTTTCTAAATTCCTCGTAATCAAATTCAGTTTCATAATCCTCTTCATCTATGTCTTCATTATCCTCATCACCGATTAACTCGTTTTCGCCATTGTCAAATATTGTCGGCTTATCTATAAAATCGGGATTATGCTGAAAAAATGGAATTTAAAAAATGATATTGATTTTAGTGACTCGCTTAACCTAAACTGAAGTCGTCAACAATGGGCAAACTCATAAATACACTCTTAATAATGGAATTCACTGACAGGCTTATAGTCTTAGTAACTAGAGAGAAGTCTAAGAGTAATTTTTATGAATAACCAAATATTTATATTAGAGTGGTTTAATTGTTTTTTTTGGAAATTGATAAACGCTACCTCAAATTATCAAGAATGATAGAATACAAGATAGCGCATTCCTGCGGGTGATGACGTAAACTTAGCCACGAATGGAGGAGATGGAGAAGAGAAAAATATGTAAACTGTCAAAACATTAAAATTTGTTTATATTAACTGAACGCGTGAAAATAAAATTACTTACATATATAAATAGTACACAAATAAAACCAAATGATAATTTTGCTTCGTAAGAAACATCTGGCAGTCTCTTATTTTATTGTTCATATTTACATATATATGAGTGTCGTTAAAACCTAATAAAAGTTCAGCAATCGCGAGGAAGACACAATTTGGGAACGGTTTAGTTATTTGCCCAATGATTTCGGGCTACTGTATCCGAATGGATGACGCGATCTACAAAAAGTTAATACACATTTGTAACCCAAAATGAAAACTTCATTTTAAAACCTAATCGTCAACACGAAAAGGTGTTCTGCACAAAAAACCCATTTAACCGGGTTTACATTTCTGGTGACAAAATGCTAATTTGAGACCATTTTCCAAAAGCTCCCCAAGAGCCTGTGGACGACTCCGACGGGTCGCGTATGGCTTTCTACACAGCTTGAACTGTAGTGGGTTGAATATCAAGAGCCAGGCCCCTCCCTTTCTGCTCTCTAACACAAAAGCAGTGTGAAAAAGACTAAACGACCCTATTACATACAAACATACATACATGTAAACATCTCTGCATACATACAAACATTTGCTAAAATGACGTTACACGAACAGCTGATTCTGTCAAATTCGCCAAGAACAAAGTAGCGGTACTGCTGATTGCGCCACCTCTGTGTCTCCCTACTTCGTGTCAAATTATTGTTATTTGTGGTAAAAAAAAGAGAAACTTGTTACCAGGGGGTTTCTAGGGTTGCTAATTAAGAATCTGAAGTCGGTTTTTCAAAATTCAAAATGGCGGATCCAATATGGCGATCAAATTTAAAAAGAAATTACTGAAATTAAAACGTTGATACTGGACTTTTTAAGCATTGTCAAGGACTAAAACTCGTTTCCAGTGGGTTTCTGGGGTTGCTGATTACGAATCTGATGTCAGATTTTCAAAATTCAAAATGGCGGTTAAGAGTTTCAAACAATCCGCCATTTGAAATTTTGAAAATCTGACATTTGATCTGAGTTTAAACCCTTGACAATGCTTAAAACGTCCAGTTTCAACGTTTTAATTTAAGTTTTTTTTTTGTTTGATTTGATCGGCATATTGGATCCGCTATTTTGAATTAAAAAAAATTTATTTCAGATTCATAATCAAACCCTTAAACTCCCGAATGCCAAGTTTCGAACAAATCCAACCATTTTACTAAAAATGTATCACCATTTTGGATCCGCCAATTTAAATTTTGAAAAACTGACTTCAGATTCTTAATAAGCAACCCCAGAAACCCCCTGGTAACAAGTTTTAACCCATTACATTTAACTGTCCAGGAGAGGTATGTAATTAAGGGAAGTTTCCCAATAATACCAGAGTAATTATACGTAAAAACCACATTTTTAGCTGCATTTTCACTCGTCAAGAAAATTAACACAATGAGAACATCAACGTTTTTATAAAAAAAAACCGACCAGCGCGACCTCTAAGAAAACTTTTTTATCAAAATAAAAAAATATGTGTCTATTTTTTTTTTGATCACAAATAACAATATTTTGATGTAGCGTTTATGAATAAAATCGAGTTAATTATTTTTTTCTATGGATACTTTTTCGAGATATTTGCAATTTACCGTTATTCAGCTTAAAGCAAAAATTGCTTCCTTTTAAGCCCGTTTATCTTACGAACCAATTTTAAAATCTTTATATAAAATACGGCAAATGAAAGCCAATGAAATTCTCCATAAACCGTATATACATCACTTTCCGATAGGGCTTATAGTTTCTGCCAAATTAATTAATCACTCCAGCTTTTTTTTTATTTTTTAATGAAAAAAATCAAACTTTAACAGAAGAAAATTTTAAAAAACAAAAAGTTCTGTGCCAATTTTTTGCATTTGTACTAAAGCCTGTTCTGTTACAAAAAAAAAATCAAGTTACTGTTGAAGAAAATCGATGGATAAATCGATAAATAAATACGAGCAGTGAAGCGTTTTACTCGGGTGTACGTGGCGTATGAGTAACTTTCTTTCCTGCTCATTTCCATTGGACCAGTCATTATTTCGTATTTATCCATCGATTTTCTTCATCAGTAACCTGTTTGGCACAGAACCTGTTATTTTTTTTAATTTTTCTTCTGTTAAAGTTTGATTTTTTTTTTTTAATTTTTTCAATAAAAAATAAAAAAAAGCTGGAATGATTAATAAATAATTTGTCAAAAACTATTAGCCCTATCGGTGAGTTAAGTATATACGGTTTATGGAGAATTTCATTGGCTTTCATTTGCCATATTTTATATTAAGAGTTTTTATATTTATGTTTGTTTTATATATAGTCTTATTATTTTAAACAAGCAATTCTTGTATATATGTATGTATATAAATATATATGTATGTATGTATATAAATAAGACGTTTCACATCAACCGGCCCAGAGCTTTGTCCGAAACTCTAAGCATCTAAACATACATATATAGGGTATTCACAGCGGTGTCGTAAGTGTCGTATTGTTGTATGTCGTAAACTTTAAACGCCTAAAAAATATATTAAGCGGGTTCGCAAAGTACTATCAAAGTCATATTATGAATTTTTGCAGTGTCAAAAAATAGTTGGTTGTCGTTTTAAGTTCTCTAAACATTTATTTAAGCTCCCTCAGATAAGAATCCCTCAATAGTAAGTCAAAATACTCGTAAACTAATACCCTTACGATTAGGGAATCCAATCCCGCAATCGCGGGATCCCGCGCCATTTTTGCGGAAGTGAGCGATTACACATGCGGGATCAGCGGAAAGGGTTTTATTAACCTTTCAGCGACTTTTTTTGTGCTCCTGCGTAATTGATTAACATTTTATAACTAGCTCAAACTTTGTACACCTACCGATTTATAAACAGATTATACAAACAAGTGTAAAACAGTCTATTTCTATCGATAAATACATACATTACATTTGAGCTTCCTTTCAGATACTAAATTTCGTATACTCATAGCTCTGGTTCTATTAGAGGCACACATTCAGCTCTCATATAATTTACAAGAGTATGTTATATAGAATATATTACTTCTTATGATATATTTTCTTCCGAAAAATATCCAACAGATATAGCGTTTTTGACCATATACCTACGAAACTTTGTATAATCACCAAAATCAGAAGTTCCTGATTGTGCAATAAAATAAGGTCGAATTTATTGGATGAAACTTTAAAGACTTTATCATTCCTTCGGAAATATTATCAAAAAAGTCAACCTAATTAAAAGTAAATACGTAGGTTTTCTAATTAAATCGTCTTTTTTACATATCAATTTTGAATATAACTCTTTAGAGGAAATAATATGATTTTTTTCAGTCCCGCAAATCCCGCGGATCCGCGGGATGGATGACCTCGATCCCGCAAGCTTGCGGAGTTGCGATTTTTATGCGGGATTGGATTCCCTACTTACGATTGCAAAGTGACAGAATATGAAATTCAAAATGGCGTCATTACTGTGCTAGGTAAAATACGCTGCATACGCAAATAAGCAAATATATTTATTAATTTGTTTTACAAAACTGATGCAAAAATGTTGGGCCATTACTGATTTCAATGTTTTTGGGATCACTGATTACGATTCTAGAGTCCGATTTTCAAATTTCAAAATGGCGGATCCAATATAGCGGACGTATTTTTAAAACTTCCTTGTATTTGAGTGAAACTTTTACTCGATGGGTTTTGGGCTCGCTGATTACGAATCTGAAGTCCGATTTTCAAAATTCAAAATGGCGGACTCAATATGGCGGCCAAATAAACTAAAATCACTTAGATTCGCATACAACTTTTAAATCGGGGTTTCTTAAGGTCGCTGATTACAAATCTGGAATCAGATTTTAAAAATACAAAATTTCAGATCCATATTGGATCTATCATTTATCACGGGAATTTTAAAATCGAACGTACGTAAATGGCGTATGACTAACATTCTCATCTCGTCTTCATAAAACTATGTACGTGGCTCCAAAAAAAAAATGCAAAAAATTTCTAAACACTCGAAATAATCAATATACCCTCGGAGCTAGGGGCCAAATATAGTAAAAATGCGGTTTAAGTTTTTCTCTCTGGCGTCAAGATTTTGTTTAGAAGGACTTTTAAATTTCAAAGATATGATTAGTTCCAAAACTTGTTTAAAAAATTCAATGAAATTTAGAATAAAAATATGGGTATCAAATTAAGGAAAATATTCTTTGCAATTTAAAAATATAAAATTTGTTTGGTTCAAGGAACAATTGATATTGAAAATTTGTATATATATTTTTTTAATTTTTATTTTTTACGCTATTAAAGTAGAAGGACGAAATTCGAGGAACTGGTCGTGTGTATATTAATACATAATATATCTTTTTTTTAAGTAAATACTGGAAATTTCCAAGAATATTCAAGGACAAAATTTTAAAAGAACATTTTCTATACCTATTCGTCCTTATACACCAAAAATTTAATATTTTTCAATTCTACAGATTTTTTTTTTTTATTTGGTACCCATATAGTTATTCTATATAGCCCAGAATTTTTTAAATACTTTTTGGAATTCTTTGAAATTTCAAAGTCCTTTAAAAAAATCCTGACGCCATAGAAAGAAACTAAAAACGAAGTTTTATTATATTTGGCTCTTAGTTTTGGAAGTATATTTTTTTTTTAGTGCAAAATTTACTTTTTCTCGGTGTAATCCATGTTATCATTAGGTTGATTTTTTTGAAGGACTTTTGCCACTTTCAAAATAAACGGCTTGGCGCGCAATATCTCGCATACGCCAATTGTAATACCACGTATAAGATAGTCCGAAAATTTCACAAAAGGGCAAAGAAACTTATTTTTTCATAACTTTTTATATGGTTTTCTACCTGAACTTATGAGCTTCCACCATGAAATTCGTGAAGTATTGAGTACAGTATTAAGCAAGTATTGAGACAGGGTAACTGAAACAATTTTTTTTTTTTTCTATGCCACCCCATATTTACGTGGTATTTGCAGCATTTGGCGGATACGAGGTATTGCGCTCCAAGCGACGATATGTAAATTAAGGTACCAAATATACATATATACATATTAGAGAGCTGCATGAATTCATTCAAACTTCTAGCCAAACAGAGAACAGTCGATTTGAATATTTTACTTCACATACGAAACACTCAGCATTTGGAATTTCGTAAGCTATGAATATACATTTTGTTATAAACTTTCTACCTTCCAACGGAAGAATGTGAATGAATGAATGGAAAACATTCAAATCATACAAACTCATTTCGATAAACGTTTTTTTCTACAAACAAGTTTGTTCATTTGAAGCCAAAATCATTCATTCGATAAGCTGTTTTGAATGAATTCATGCAGCCCCCTAGTACATATATACATACATATTTACGTACGCTTCTTCAGCAAATATTTCTAATTCAACAAACATTTTAGAGAACGACGCGCACGATTGATTATTTTTATTTATTATTATTTTTTCCACTACTACCACATTTTTTGCCAAAATTTCATAAGAACGTAGTCTCTTTTAGTCATTACTTCGGAAATAATGTTTAATTCCGAGTAAAACAAGGTACCATTTATTAAAATCAGTGCAAAAATTATGAAGTTATGTCATCTTTTATAGAGACAAATTCAAAATTTTCCTTACGAATTATTGAAACCTCGAAGTGAATCCAAATCAACTGATTCAAATTTTCTGTGAAATTATGTATATGGAAGTAATTTTGGAAGAAATTTTTAGAAAGTTCACATTTTCAGACAATCTATTGATTTTTATAAATGATACCTTGTTTTACTCGGAATTAAACATTGTTTTTGAAGTAATGACTAAAAGAGACTATTTTTTTTTGTGAAATGTTGGCATAAAATGTTGTATGTAAAAGTGGAAAAAATAATAAAAATTGGTATAAATTTCCGATTTATTCCAAAAATTTTCTACATATTTACAATGTCTTATCCTTAAATAGTACACATATTTTTCTCTCAAAGCCATATGAAAACTTAAAATTGGGTAAAAAAATAACCGAGCTGAAAATTGTTTTGTGCGGGATGTCATGTAAAAATGGTTTTTTAAGAATAAGTTGAAAGTTTGAGGGTGTTGGAAAAATTTAAACACAGTTTCGTGAATTACTCGACCAGTCCTACGACCTGTACCTGTAGGTCATGATCAGTGTTACACCGTGTAATTAAAGGTTTGCTCACTAATGACATTAGGGTTTGGACACTCCCTTACAAAAGGTTGCACAAACACCCACACACGGTGGCTTGCTAAGGGAGCCCGACTTTGACAAGAGGGCGCGAGAACTGTTTTCTGAGCAATCCTTTTATTAACTAATTTAAATTTTTAAATAAATATATACCAACACATATTCAACAAGGCAGAAGTGACGGCCATATAGCTGACTGTAATGTCAAAAAGCACAGAAAACTTGAAGTACATTTTTACAAGCTTTTATTCTGTTTCATTCAATTTTTACCAACTTCCCGATGAGCTAGAGACTTGAAACTTCAAACTTTGCTCGGAGCCCGATGACAATGCAATATGATAGAGGAATCCATCGGCTAAGTGGCGTAGGTGAGAGATATATTTGAAAAACTCGTATATTACTTAATTAAAAGGGAATCCACACAAAATTTCCCCGATAGGTGGCGTAGGAGTTGAGATATTTGAAAAACCCGTATTTATGATCCAATTTGTTTAATACTTAAAACATATATTTATTACTCAAAAATGGTGAGAAATAATTCAGAAAAGAATTTTGCCGTTAGGTGGTGCGTAGCTCGATTTTTCCTTTTTTTTTTTGCTAACCATTAATAAAAGCTTGTGTTTAAAATTTTAGTTTTTAAATTACTCGTTTTTAATAATAATCGAAATCTTTTGTTCCTCATCCATTCTGAATATAGTACCTCTTTCTCAAAATCGCTCTCATCTTCCAAATTTGTCAAGCCCAAACGTTGCTGCATGCTAAGAAAACGATTGTCCAGTTGTTTCATTTCGTTTTCCAGATGAGAAATGCGTTTGAAATGCCAAATCTGTAAAATAGAAGGCATATGTACATAAATAAAATAAAAATTAGAGGCGATGCGCCAAAAATGCAGATGTATTAAAATAACAGACATGCTTAAACTGAATACAAAATTTAGAAAATATATGTAAGTTTGTGCGCTTGTATTTTAAGATACCTCTCATCTAGAGACACGATGTCGAACCGAAAATATCGATACGATAGTCGATATCCCAAACATCGATACTAAATTAAAATAATTTTATCGAAGCATTGCTCCCGTTTCTAATAAAGAATGAACACTTTGCGCTTTGATAAGTGTTTGCTTAAATATATGTATGTCGGTAAATGTGTCGCCTAACATCACCGAAGACGCAGTTTCAAATACCACCACTTGCTAACTTAAGATAGTCTCACAGTAATTAACCGTAAGCTCCCCCGCATAAAACGCTTTCACAGAAATATATCACAAAAAGTATAAAATAAATGGTTAATGATAGAAAAAGATACAATGGCCCGTAGTTATAGTCGAAAGTTAAAACCTCTTCTAGTTAAAATTAATCTTTAAGTTTAGAGCAGGCTTTAAGTTAAGTTAGTCAGTTATAGACATGCTAGAGGCAGGTTTTTGCTAGATTGACACAAATAAAGGGCCATTAATATAAAATTAAAAAAGTAACCAATCGGCATTAGGAAAACTTTGTGATTTTAGCAAGTTCACCCTGTGTCAACTGACTTTTATAAATAATTTTGAAAATGGCGCAGCAAACTGTAAGTAAATAACAATTTTTTGTAAAATATAATTTATTAACGTAAATAATTTAATTTTTATAGGAAGTGAAAAGAATTCGCGAATTTAATTGGACTGCTGCTATAAATACTCACATCAACGTCATTGAGGACAAGACGATTGTATCATCCAAAATCGCAAAATCTCGAAATATCCTTTGATTGGGAAGCGTATTCTTCAAATTAAGACCACTTTTGTATTTTCTCTGCAAATTTTGAAAGGGAAAACGTCTACTTAGAGTACGCTTTTAAGATTTTGAAACCTCGTCAACCTCATTTTAAATTTAAAACGCCGTTTTAAAGTTAAAAGGTCTTTTAAGTTGACTATGACAGTGTTAAAAGAGTGTTTATCTTAATATATAGTTTTAAATGTTAAAACCTGCCTCTAACTTCTCTATAACAACGGGCCAATGTTTTTAATGTAGCCCAGTTATTTTCGGTCTCTGCTTAAGATATGTACATGAGAGTGGTCCAAAAGAATTGTTTCCGAGATAGGGTTTGGGACACCTTCCAAAAGTTTTCCTCTTGCCGAAAGAGGTGCTGGTACCACACTTTACGTCTCTAAGTATAAATTTAGAGGATGCTCATGATGCTCATATTTTACTCTAGAAATATTGCGTACATATATTAATCAAACAATTGGTTAAGAAACCTAAGAACATTTCAAATTGAAATTATCTAAAAACCATTACAAGCTCCAGTTGTCATGGCAACAGTAGCTTTTTATAAAAATCACCGATATTTTTACAATGTTTCACAGCGATCCAGTAGCGCATTTTAAAGCCATTGAGCACCCTGTATCGGTTACAGTAGAAAACTGAAAGTTGGTATAGATATTGCAAATATAAAAAGGAAAAAACTAAGGGGGTGCCCCGCTTTCTTGGGTGCAATTTTTTTCCCCCATACAAAAATTTTACCACTCTAATGCACATGTATACCCTGCAGCAAAATTTAGAGACAGTCTGACAAAGCGCTTGTTCCGTCCTACAAATTTCAGAACTGTCTCTGAACTACTGCAAGACGGTTGCAGAGCGGGACAGTTGACACTTGCGGTGTGCTAGTTGCGCTGTCGTCAAAGTTTCTGACATTTGGCATCCCAGCCGAAGTAGCCGGGGTGTAGAACACCAAAAAAAGTTGCGGTTTTTCCGCCGGGATTACTAAATTTGTTATATTTTAAGACGTCTACCAAAATATTTCGGAAAAATATTAAGATTTAAGCGAGCTGGACCGATTTCAAAATACCTCCAAAAATAAAGTTTTTTATGAATAAAAATAGTTTCTTAAAGAACTTTTTGAAAAAAGTCCCCAAAGATCACAAATTAGATTAAGCTTAAAAAATCTGCATAAAAATATTTGAAAATCTTTTCAACGGAATCGTAAGAATGAGATTTTTGATGCTGTTTTTTTTACTTTTTTGAAAGATTGGTTTAGGAAAAACTTGAATAACTGGGCCAAAAATGTTCTGATTTAGACTTATGGGATCTCAGTAGAAAGGTATTTTCACACTGTTTTTATTTCTGGCCAAAACAACGTCATTCGTGTGCCATCTTGTTTTTTCGAATACCAACACATCTTAATTCAACTTTGAATGACGTTCGTTCATCCTACCTTTCTCTTCCATCCTTTGAATGAGTTTATTAGCAATGAAATAAAAAGGGTGAAAAAATACCTTTCCAATGACACCTCTTAAGTCTAAATCGTAAGAGTTTAGGTTCAGTTATTCAAGTTTTTCCTATACCAATCTTTGAAAAAAGTTAAAAAACAGCATCAAAAATCTCATTCTTACGATTCCGTTCAAAATTATTTTTTAATATTTTTATGCAAATATTTTAAGCTTAAACCGTTTTATCATTTGAGGGATTTTAAAAAAAAAAAATCTTTAAGAAACTATTTTTATTCATAAAAAACTTGATTTTTGGAGGTATTTTCAAATCGGTCCAGCTCACTTAAATCTTAATATTTTTTTTTAATATTTTGGTGGACGTCTTAAAATGTAATAGATTTTATAATTCCAATGGAAAAATAGTACCGATTTTTTTTTTTTGTATGGGGAGTGATGCAGTCTAATGTACATATGTACGTTTGGGGATCGTTATATGTACATAAGTAAACGTGTATTTGCTATGTAAATTACTTGACAAAAAAATAAGTTAGATACAAAGTCAGAATCTATTGCTTAAGAGGATTGATTATGTTCGGCGCAATATTGCGCATTTTATATGTATGTACACATGCATAGATATGTATTTAAATAGGTGTAGTCATAATAAACGAAAAATGTAAATAAATTGCATACACTATTGTCAAATACAATTTTCACTGAAAGACTACCGTTTATGCCAATGGATCTGTTAGATCAAATTATTGGCTTCAAATTGCTCATTTCATTTCTCGTTCCGATGTATACATATTTACATACATGCATATTTACGTTCGTATTTGAATAAATTTTTATCCCTCTTACCCATGGGCGTAGACAGATTTTTTTTTAATTTTTTTTTTTTCAAACCCAATATCTTACCTAAAAATTCGTTATTATAGCTTAAAATTATTGTAACCAATATAGGTATGTTGTACAAAATCACATAAAGAGAAGTTCAAAAAAGTTGATATAAAACTATTCGTCGATTTAAATAGTTAACTTTTTCCTGCGCAAGTTCATTTTACGAGGAGGAAGCATCAAAAGCCTAACCCCGTCAGTGTGAGACTTTAGCCCAAACTAAACTTCCCACCTCTCCCGCATCGATGTTTTTGAAACATCGATAATATCGGTTCAATATTCGATGTTTGCCATTGATGTTTACAATTTACTAACATCGAGAAATTGACGATACATCGATGAAAGTTTTACCGATGTTTTAAATCGACTTTAAGGAGACTCTCCGACTTTCTTTCGGTATGTTTGACTGACCTTAAATTTATTATTCATTCAGAATATTTTTGTTATTTATGGCCTTATAACAATTATATTCAACAATTTTATTGAGCTTGAGGCCGTTTCTTATGAAAAATGTTATTGAAAATAAACAATAATTTACAAAAGGTAGAAGTTATAGCTGCTATTCCGGAGATCACCACATCTCCTCAGTGACCACGGTTGAAGAAGTCTGATTAGTAGATGTGGTGATCTCCCAAGTAGCAGCTATAACTTCTTACCTTTGTAAATTATTATTGCTTTTCCACAACATTTTTCATAACAAACGGGCCCAAGCTCAATAAAATTGTTGGATTCATTCTGAATGCTAATAGCCTAGCCGTTGAAACAGAACCAAACTCCCCTTAGAATTTCAACAAGATCAGGCCAAGGATCTTTAGGCCCGAACGACCTTACAATGGTACGTATTTTGATTCTAATAATAGAAAGGGTATAGAAAGGATAATAAAATACAGGAAAATACATTCATAATTATTAAAGTACTCAATATTGGTTTAAATTTAACTACAAATTAACAAATTGCTAAACATCGGAAACCATCGATATATCGATGCTTCTCTGGCGATGTATTTTAGCCACGATGTTCTTCTCCCCGATGCATCGAAACATCGATGTATCAATGTTACTGCTCAAAATTTGCATCCCTAATCGCAGTGGGGTCCTCCCTCTTCATCTGCTACCACCAGCGGGTTCCGGATTGAATACTTTCAGAGCTGGAGCGTCGGCGTCTATTCGAGCGACATGCCAAGCCAGCGGAGCCGCTGTATTTTAATTCGCTGCTCATAATTCCATCGTCTGCGGTACTCGCTGTCGCTAACACGTAAAGGCCCGGAAATCTTCTGCAAAATTTTTCTCTCGAATACTCCAAGAGCCGCCCCATCGGATGTTATCATTGTCCATGGTTTTGCGCCACACACCAGCACGGGCATGATGAGTGACTTATAGAGTGTGGTTTTCGTACGTCATGAGAGGGGACTTTACTCCTGAATTGCCTACTTAGTCCAAGTAGCACTTGCAGGAAAGAGTGATTCTGAATTGGATTTCAATGCTGACATTATTATCGGTGTTAATGCTGGTTCCCAAGTAAACGAAATTCTCCACTGTGTCGAAATTATAACTGTCAATAGTGACGTGGGTGCCAAGGCGCAAATGTGCGTTTCAGGCGTTTTTCCTGTCGGCCAGCATTTTAAGCTCTTCGCACTTCCGTATTTCGGTCCCTCTCCTTTTATTTCGGTATCGTTGCGCCCTATCGCAGCGTGGGCCGGTGGAGCCGACTACTTCTTCGGCGACGGTACATAATGAGCTGAAAATATGGTTCCACTTTTGTTAAAGAGTGCTCTCTTGGAGCAACTGTGATAGTGGCGAAAAAATTGGCCGTCTGTTGTAATTGCAGCTTTTCGAAGTTGAGCTTTCCTTGCCATTGTTTGACGCACATTTTTTGCTTCCATTCCAGGTGCATTCCGTCGTGGACGTCATCAAAAAAGGGTTTTACATGGCGGGTCCCAAACCCAACGCGCAACCTGTTGCTGGGGTATGTGGTTTTTCAACCGGATACATGTTCATATAGCGAGCCGCGTGCTCAAAACAGACGCCCGCTTGCAGAAGCTGCAGACTTCAGTGAGCCCTTAAACCGAATAAGTCGGAATGACCCCACGGAAGCTTCCTCTCTTTCTGCCGTGACCAAAGGCTTCACTCAGATTGGATATCGCATCTCGCACATGGGTTGCTCACATTGTTCAAAGTGCGCAAACAAGGACGCAGTAAAGTAAAGAGGATTAAGTAAAGCCATGCAACTATAACTGCATACCCAGAAGAACTATTATGCCGGATTGCAGATAATATTAACTTTTGAATTAAATTGAGAAAATTTTTTGGCCGCTATTCAGCAGTTCAAGAAGCTCACGACTTCCCGTGTTTGCACCAAGTATCCTCTGGGTAGCAACCGAACCCGATTGGAGCGATTAATTAGACTCCAACTGATTAAATTATTCAAATCATGCTGCATATAGAGGATATCGGACCTATAATCTTTCAAAACTGTAAACGCGATAGTATCAAAAGTGAAAGCAAATAGCTGAAGTTTTGTATCTGCATAAAGAAAAAACAGTGTTGCCCTAAAAGCCAACTAAACTATGCAGGGGCGCACCCAGGAATATATTTTAGGGGGGTTTTATATTTCTGAAGATATATCACCGGAAAATACTGAAANGGGGGGTTTTATATTTATGAAGATATATCACCGGAAAATACTGAAAATTTGTTTCAGATAATACCCTCTTTAATATACATTTATGCAAGTTTTATGTACAGTATGTAATAAATAAATAAACGTTTTAAAATTCATAAACTGCACTTTATTTCCAGATTAACAGAACTCAAACGCTTTTAACCGACTTCAAAAAAAATGGAGGTTATCATCTCGCCGGAATGCATAACTTTGGACCACGTGAACCGATTTCAATAATCCTTTTTTATTAGAAAGATAGTACCTCAAGGTTCGTCCCGTAATTTGTTTTAGAACTCCGATGATTGGATCATGAAGAAATTAACGGTACCCCTAAATTTGAATATGAGAATTGAAGTCGGTTGTGTTCTTTCCTTAAAAACTACTTGCTTAATAAAAAGTTCTATAA